AGTTTGAACTTTAGTCCTAGAACCAAATTTGGGACTGCAGTCTTATGATTATAAGAGAATCAGTTTGGTCCAGTCCTCATGAAGACTAGTAGTCCAGGATTTAGGACCAGATGGACTGGACTGTTTAACATCCCTGTTGGAGACTAAGCTTTCAGCCTGGCTGGAAGATAATAAGCGTGATGACTGGAGTTTTGGATTGCTGATTGTTACATGTCAGTATTTCTTTTCACATATCATGTTGTATAATTTGTATCAGCATATAATTTCAGAAATTATATGCCAATGCAAATTATATACAGCATACACATAACTTATGATATCTTACCTGTTATAATAAACAATCAACTTGTATTACAGGGGCAATGAACACACAAGTCTGTACAGCAACCAAAAGGACACCATACGAACTTGTGTATGGACAAGAACCTCATTCTGGTTTTGCTTTGATGAAAGAGTTATATGATCAAGGCATATGGGATGAGGAAGATATACCAGACAATGTGACTGTGCAAAACTATGAGAGCGATGACAATGGTGAGAGCAGTGCACATGTACCAGAATCTGAAAGTGCTCCAATGTCATCTGATGTCATGTCTACAAATCATGAAGCATTTTGGAAAGCTGCAGCAGAAAATGTAGAAAAGAATATAGAATGGATGAGAACAGTCATTGAAAGCAGAAAATGGCAAATAACATTCTCTGTTGGGGAATTGGTATGCATTAACATTCCTTGAATAGACAGAGCAGGAATTGATAGAAGATCACTTCTGTGTAAAGTTCTGGAGGCTCTCGATAGGGGTTATTATCATCTCAGATGTGCCTTTGAGATTTTAGAGAGGGTGTTACCTAGCAAGTGAGATGGAAGGTGTAAGTGCAGAGTTTCCAGAACTTGAAAATATTCCTAGCTCTCAAATATCTCTCACAGAGGCTTCCCGTTTACAGAGCTCTGCATCTGCTAATTCTTTATGTCATTACAAGTCTGGCTGTGTTAATAACCGGTGTGCATGTAGAAGAGCAGAGGTTGCTTGTAGCTCTCGCTGCCATTTTTCAAAAAATTGTACTAACCATGATGTATAAGTGCCAGTAATACAATAATAAAATAGATAGACGTATGAACTTAAATAATATTATGTAACCTGGTAGGGCCTGTCCAGTTACAATTAGGTGACATAAGTAGGGGAGTAGTTGCAAGATTGACCAATGAGAATATATGAGATCTCAGATCGGTCTGATGACCAGATCAGTTTAGAACAAATATAACCCTTTTTCATGGAGTCCCCAAGATAAGTATGCTGATAGTAAAGAAAGTTTTATATTTGCATTAGACAAAAACATAGATAAGAGTATAGTAAGCTCTGTTGATGAGAATACTAGTTCATATGCTATTTATGATTATAATAATTATTTTCCTGGTTTTGGGCATCACTCTCTTGATTTATATTTTGGGGGTCCTACTATGCCCCTTGCTACAAAAAGTTCATATCAAGTTTCACTAAGAACTTCATCAGATTGTTTTTCATGGGTTGATTGGGAAGTATTTTCAGTTCAACTTTGATTTAATCCTTGCTATTTATATTATCAAGTTTGATGATTACAATGTCAAATTTACTTTTGTATGTTATATTACAATCACATTTATACTATAAAGAATAAATTTATACTACTACTACACTATTGTTTTTTGTTATTTTACTAACCCATGCTACTATTGTATCACTTGTGCTTGTTTTGATCAAAGCTTTGTATTGAACATGTTTGCTGATATTTGAAGGTTAGTGCGAAAAATAAATAAGGGAAGAACAACTTGACGGACGAATGCGCATCGGGGAAACATCAAAAAGAGTTAGTTTATATGCATAATGGTAGCGTTGGAAATGTACCTTATGCTAAATAAGTCTACGGTTAAAATATAAATAAACGTAATTTACTTGAATGTCGTCGCTGCTTACAATATTTGTATTAGCTATTCCAATAATTATCATATCATCGAAACATGCCTGCTATCGTAAAAATTCCCGAAACTGAAGAAGAATACAATGCTATCATCACTTACCTGCAATCAAAAATACTTCCTCCCGAAATCAAAAATAATCTAAAAGAGAAGTCAAACTTTACTCGGCGCTGTAAAAAGTTCGAACTTGATAATGATAAAATTCTTTATACCAAACCCACTGACAAGTGTGGAGGACGTCGAGTGCTTCCAAAATTTGACAGTAATTTACGTAACCTAATACTACGACGTTTCCATGATCAATCTAATCATCGTGAATACCACAAAACGTATTCTGCGATTTCGGAAAAACATGTTGGTATTACGCAAGAGGAAGTACGGACGTATGTCAACAACTGTGAAGCGTGTAAGATTAACACATCAATAAAAGAAAAAACCGACATGACTCCCGTTATATCCATGGCGCCCTGGACACATTTACAAATCGATCTCATCGATTTCCACGAGTACGCAGACGTTAACGATGGATACGCATGGCTCTTGACATGCGTTTGTACATTTTCGAAATTTCTAGTAGCAGTCCCTATGAAAAATAAAGCAGCAGCGACTGTTGCCAACCACCTCATCAAGGACGTATTTAAGATTCCGGGACCGCCGCAAATTTTACAAAGTGACAATGGAAAGGAGTTCGTTGCTGAAGTAATCAAAAGCGTCTGTACAAGTCTTAACATTAAGATGAGACACGGCCGTCCTAGACATCCACAATCGCAAGGACAGGTCGAGAGATTGAACCAGACGGTCGGGCGTGGCTTTACAAAGCTGTTATGGGATAGTGACAACCAATTACAAAGAAAGGATTGGATTAATATTATTGATGCCTTTGTCATGACCTATAACTCGACAGTTCATCGGGCACATTCTCGCACGCCCCATCAGGCATTGTTTGGTTGGAGGATGCACTGTGTCTATGACACGCCTGACACGCTTGACAATAATGAAAATAGTGAGATTAACAACAGCAATGAAGATGAGGACATGGGCAGCAGCAGCAGCGGCAACAACAACAACAGCAGCATCAGCAGCAGCAGCAGTAGCAGCAGCAGTAGCAACATCAACAGCAACAGCAACAACGACATCGACGACATCGACGACATCGAAATGAATGGGTCAGATTCTGTCGGTAACAGCATCGTCGAGCAACACCTTGCAAAGGTGCTTGAGACCCATAAATCGATAAATGACGTTCTTGATAAATACCGATCCAAAATATGTCAGCAAGGTAGTGTGCACAGAAAAAAGCGTCCGAGTAATACAATTGAAACTGGAACTCCAGTTTTCATAGCTCCCGATCACGACAACAATCAGCACACTCGAAAAAGAAAACTACAGGCGACATATTCTGAAACAGGTATCTTCAAACGTCTAACATCGAACAATAGAACAGCAGTTGTTGAAGTTGATAATAAGGAAACCCGTGTTCCTGTTGTGAGAATTAAGCCAAAACGTTCCTAAAGTAAAATTTTATTCAAGGTTACCAAACAATTTATACGTGTATATATATATATATATATATATCTAATAAAGTTTACAATAAATCGTTGTGACATGATAATCTGAGTAAAGTTTAGTCTTATGACCACTCGTTAACAATTCAAAGTTAAATTCTTAGCATGCATTGGATTACGTTACTTGAATAGTCTCATACAAAAGCATTACATAGAATAAGGATCAAAGCCAACACTGAGTATTTGATATTGACATACTAATACAATAATAGTACAAACGTTGTGTGTATGTTGTATAATATGCGTCACCATATAATCCGGATTCATTTATAATTTGTGGCCGATAACAATAATAAGCAATTCGATTCTGAAATTAACGTCCATTGTTATACAAGTCAAGGCTTTCTTTCGTTATACTTTTTTTGTGTTGATGCAATTCAATTATTTGAATAGACTGACTGTATCATACGATGACGATGCATGCTGTATTAGTGATTCATTTTTGACTCTCTAATTAAGAGTCACTGTCGAAGAGCAAATCGTAATTAACTGTTTGATATTTTAATCAAGCTCGTCAAAGAGCTGATCGTATGATAGTGTATTGCTGTAAGTGAAGAATAAATCGTATGATGACGATATTTGCTGTACATGTCACTCAAGTTGTTTAATGTTTTAGTCAGGACGTATTCGCTAGATTTTGTTCACTATTGAAGACATGATAGAGTATGTCTTTTTAAAAATGTCGTTGATGTACTGTCCCGTAGACAGGCTAGTTGTATGTGTAAAGTAGATCAACAGAAATATAATGTACGTTTTCATTTCTGTCAGAATTGTAATTTAACAGGGCAAGGTTCTTACAGTTTTGACAAATTATGTTTATCAATCCGGCGATATACAATGTGTATACTGTATATTAACCGATTTTTTATGTAACACAGTAGGATACAAATAAGGCCGACTGTATTACTAATGTGTGATGATGACGTGATTTTATATATTAGGGGCTGTGATACCCGCAATAATTAGGTAATAAAAGAATCACGTGGAATGCAAGCATCAGCCGACTGCAAGCATCAGCTGCGACATTTATTAATAATATAATATAAAGTAGTTTAAACCTGCTAGCACCATCCAAAAGACTAAACCAATTTAAATTTCCGCATAAATTATGGAATACTTTTTTCTAGTGATTTACTAAACTGGTTTCGTATGCGACAACTCTTGTCAATTCTTTTACCAATTAAAAATTATTTGCAACCACTATAAAATAAATTAGATGTGTTAGCTCTATTTGTTGTGGCCTTTTCGTTGTCATAACTGAAATACTAGAGTCGTAAAGATCAGTCTGTGACCGTTAGCCAATGAGATTGAGGACGTTTTATACAGAATAATCGCAATATTATGTAATGATATGTCACAGACTCACACCTTATTGCGTAGATAACGACATGCGACACGCAATCGAATATAATTACGTACGCTTTTCTCCGAACATCTCTGTAACTGCTTCAGAAATTACGCAAACAAGTCATCGAGCAAGAACAATCATTTGCTCCGACAACAACAATAGATGGCTTTTGCGCGTTTAGATTATACGATTTACTTTTTGAAGTATAATGCAGATGGCGCATCTTACTTTAAACAGCAATTTAACCACAATGGCTGTTGTGCGTTTAGATCATATGATTTACTCTTAAAATGTGAGTGCATAGGCATGATACATTGCTGAAATTTAAACAGTATTTAACAACAATGATATCATAATTGAGTCTAATAATATTCTAAAATTCAGAGCAAAAAGGCATGATTATAGTTCAAAACTGCAGTACGAAAATCTGTCACATGAGCGATAGACATTATACATTCAATCATAAAAATAAAAATTATGTTTTACCACTTAAATATTTGCCTTGAGTAACAATCGTGCGACACAGAATTGCAAAAATTTTAATTGGCAGAACCGACGCTCTTACTTACTCATAAACCGCAAATACATTACTTTGTGAGCGGCCACACCAGATTTATTTCTAACACTATGTTGTTTTTATTAATTTCTCTTATTAAAAATAATTCGTCGGCATTCGTATGTTTAATGATATGCAGTAATATTCTGGAAAATCCGTACAATGTTTATTTAGCAACAGATAAAAAATACAGAATGCACAGTGAAACGTGTTATAACAGATGCAGGCTATGAAATTTTCCGCACCGTAAGATAGCGGTAAAGCGGCGTTGAAGCGGAATTCAAACTCGCAAGGCTTTTCCCCAGAATATTTGCTGTAGATCGAGATTTTCGTTGAAAGAAATTCGTTCATCTGAAGCGATCAAATATGGTAGCGCATGTCTCGAAAATGCTGTTTTAAAAAAGAAAAACTTATCTCATTTTGTGAATATATATAATATATGATCTACAGTATAATATACAATATGTCCCATATATATAAATATATATAATATTCTATAACAACGACCCACCATTAGGTCGATCTTTAACCATACATAGGGATTTTTGGTCGATCAATAACTATACATAGTACTGTAGTAAGATTGCAATAGGGGGTTCGATCTTATATTAGTGTTCTGTAACAATTTCATCTAAAGCCGTACTACTAATATACTGTATCTCGATAC